ATGCGTATGTCTGTTGTCCAAACCAGACGGGCTCAAGGAATTGGAGGGGACCCTGGTCCATGCAGTGGGTTGGGCGCAGTGTATGTTAGACCAGGCATGGGGGCTTTCACCTGAAGAAGGGTGCCCACCACAGGAACGAAAGGCACTGCGCTTTCTCTGCTCATCCTACGACAGGTAAAGGGAGCGGCACAGGTAAAGGGAGCTGCGTGGCAGTAGTGGAGCCGCAGTAGAAGGGAGGCTGGAACCTGCTGTGCACTCGAAGCCTCAGGGGCTTGGCGTGACTGGAGTGGAATGTCAGGGGAGGCTCTGTGAGGAAGGTGGGGCTGCAGAAGAGAGCTCCGGTTAGGCTGTGGGGCCTGTGTACCCCGCAAATCGAAGGAATACGCCTGGGAGTTGGAACTGTACCCTGTTGGTCACCCGAGAGTGTGGGGGGAGTAACTTGACAAAGTGGCATTTTTTGGGAGACTCTTCATGCTTCTTGGTCTGCAAGAGCCTGGAGACCCTACTCTGTTGAGGACTTGGGAGGAACTAGAGACAATAAATAACCAAGGAATCTGGGTGAATAGCTGAGGGAGTTGGTGAAAACTGAAGTCATGCCAACACATTTTAATGACAAAAAGCCCCTTTTCCCTCTGGTGGAGTGGCAGAGGATAAGCCCCAGCCATCTGCTGCTATCTGGGAGGGGAGAGGGGAGGAGAGAGCAATGGAGGAAAAGAGATTGAGATTATCTAAGCACTGATAACTCACAAAAGTTTTATCAGGAGTAATAAAAATCATGTTTTCTGCATTTAAACAAGAAACCTGTTTCTGTTATCATAAGAGCTGTGTCCCTTTAAGTGTTGACTGAGTTATTCTAGCAGTTTCAGGGAGTTGTGAAACATTTTAGAGGGAGAGGCTTATTTTATTTTTTAAAGTCACCAGGAAAGCCAACACCCTCAGACTAATTTAACTCTGCCGAAGAATAGACTGAGAGGCAGGTTTATACATAGAAACAAAAAAGCTTATGCTCTCAGGGTTTGTAAAAAGTTTTTTATATATAAAGAATTATTAACTTGATTTTTTTTATTATTATTGCTTTTTAAAAATTTGCTTCAGGACATGAGCGAGAGTGAGTGAGCGAGAGAGAGAGAGAGAGAGAGAGAAAGAGAAAGAAGCCACCAGGTTTGGGATTTAAACCCTGGTCAGCCATGTGGGAGTTCAGTGCCCCAACCACCATGCCATCCGCTGACCCCAAAAGCTCTCTTATTTTTATGGACTACTTCTTATTAAGAGGACCGACCATATGTTAAATGACTGCCAAACTTGTTGTAATTTGACTGCTTAAGTATCTGCAGTCTCCAAGTTCTTATAAGTTAGAGAGAAAAGTCTCTCAGACCATTCTGAAGACAAGAGAACTCAACAGGTTTATTGAGCGCCACCTGCTGGTTTGTTTTAATGGACCAAATAGGTGGTGCTTAGAAATGTTTATGAATTTGCCTGAATGATACTGTTACAAAATTATGAGGCAAGACGATAATAGGAATTTGGATTATTATTAGTAGTAGCATTTAAAATAATAATTTTGTGTTAGCATTGGACTGTGGGAAATGCTTTTGGTTGGAATACACGCATCTATCCATTGCCTAGGTAGACAGGTTCATTTTAACGTTTTATCTTCTCTCGTTAGCCTTCCTAGTCTCACTGGCCAATTTTATTCCCATTTCTCTTTTTCTATTCTGTTGTGCCATAGTGCAGCCTACCTTCTGAAGGTAGGTTGTTGGATTTTTTTTTTAATTAGCCATTAGTTTTATCCAGCAATATCAGACTGATCCAAGTCAAAAGTTTTTTCTTTCTCTCCTCTCCTCTCCTCTCCTCTCCTTTTTCTTTGCCCTTCTTTCTTTCTTCCTTCTTTCCTTCTTTCTTTCTTTCTTTCCTTCTTTCTTCCTTTCCTTTCCTTCCTTCCTTCCTTCCTTCCTTCCTTCCTTCCTTCCTTCCTTCCTTCTTTGTAGAGGTTTTTGCTATAGGGCACATGCGCACTCACCAGAAAGGCAAAGAGAGAAAGTGAGAAATCACCCCCCAGGGGGGATGGCCACGCTGCAATCCCTTCTCCTCCATTCTCCTCTCGGGATCTTGGGCACGCACACACATGTGCCCGGCGTGAATTTAAGCTTGAACCATGGTTGACTACATGGGAGTTCAGCGACATAGCCATTATGCTAACTGCTGGTCCCTAGGTCATATTTTTCTATGCAAAAATGCATCGTACGTTTTGTCAGCGACCCAGTATCTTCATTATTAGTATGGGGTCATGAGTAGTTATTTTTAAAAAATTGTTTACCATTCCTTACTCTAGTTAATTGTTTGGTTTTCAGAATGTCCCACATTCCTCCAGAGGTGGCCACTTCAGTCTGGCTTTTGTGTCCTTGAGACACAGCCCCGTCATTATTTTGAGCACTGCCTTATTTTCTGTCAAAACAAGATGCTCTAGGTTCATCTCTGTCCTGACACAGACTGGGGATCAGCCGTTTCTCCCAGGAGCCTCGTACCTTTTTAGTGAAGAATGCTAATGGTGATCAGAATCTGAGCTCTCGGCGTGTCCGCTGCTGCCGGGTCTTCCTTTCTTGTGTGAGACCTCGATGGCACTGAGCTCTAACTGCCGTGAGTTTCCAGAGACAAAGACTTTGCATTTGAGTCTATGAAGATCCACAGCCAACTGCCCATCATTGGTGGGAAAACTGTGAATGAGTCCTTTCTTAGGTACTGTAATAATTACCACCTCATGGAAAGGTAATACTGGGGATAATCCTCAGTATTTACTTCCCTCTTTAGTTTCACTTTTACCATCTATGTGGTAGATGGGAGTCTTATTATTTTGGTACATTGGGAAGTTGACTGAAAACTTAGATGTTGAATGAAAGGTAGTTATTGGTACAATTCCATAATTCCACCACTCTGCAAGAATATCTTTACAGAAATATGAGGAGACTTCAAACTGTTACGGTAAAATGAAAGTAGGAGAGGTTTTTTTGGTACAGAAATTTTTGAAATGCATTTATGACTTCTTTATAATACACATTTTCCATGTACTTTTTAAAGACTTGGTGTGTTTTTTTTGTTTGTTTTGTTTTGTTTTTTGGCTTTTCAGTGTTTAGTTAAAATCATCTTCTGCTCCATTGGCTTTTCAGTGTTTAGTGAAAACCATCTTCTGCTCTACTGTGCTGCTGGGCTTAAGTTTTGGCCACAGGGTGGCATGGTTTTCTTTTGAGCCTTCTTGTTGCTAAAATGGAAAAGAAAGATACTATAAATAATAAGACTTTGTTCTCCTAATTTTAATGCTGAAATGACCTGTCTTTTTTGGTAGTGTGTTATTTTTATTATTTAAGACGAGGACTCCGTATGTTGTGGTCCTCCTGCCCGAGCCTCCTAAGTTGCTGGAAATGCAGGCATATCACTGAGCTCTACATTTTTAGGATGGGAATCGAACTCGGCCTCCTGTACAATCTCATCCTGCCAAGTAGGAGCATCTCCCAGTGTACACTGCTGTGGCTGGGGCCTTAAGTACCTTAGTAAGATTCACATAATTTTAAATCTCACTGCTTCAAAATCTTGTTAGTTTATAGTTACAACACAAATGATAAATATTTATAATGGGGAGCGTAATAATGAGGACAATATTTCACAGAATATGTTGGAGCCATTGGCTTCAATTTAAAAAAAACAAAACAGTGTATAAAAAGTACTAGAAGAACATTTGCAACCAAAAGATAGACACCTTACCTTCCAAGTAGCTGTAACAACACGGGCAAAGTTAGTGGCATAAGGTTGTTTTGTTTTATGTTTTGTTTTCCTGATTTCAAGGGCTTAGTGGTGGGGGTAGATAGAAAAATAAAATAGGGATGTCAGATGTTCAGGAGACACAGATCCTATACTAATAGCTTTAAGAGTATTTCCTTAGATAGAGACGTGCATGTTCATTCCAAGAGTTTTCAGATATTAGTTACAGGGGAGAGAAGGACATCTCCCTTACATAGCCGAGGGTACGGGGTGCAGTGTGTCTGAGTATGACTTTGTAGGATAGTGGGATTTAAAGCCGGATTTGCCTGGAGCCTAGCTCATACGTACCCTTGGCACTGTATCCTTTCCAGGTATGCTGACTAGATACCTTGCACCTTTGCTGAAGGATATGTGGACTTGGTAGTGGTGTGTGGGATGTAGAATTTAGAGATTTATTGCTGCAACTGGAACGTGCAAGTTAGCTATATTTAACATACCTCCTTTATCTGCTTTGCTTTATTTTTTGGTTTTCTTGAATTTCTCCTTTCTATAAAACGCATTATCAAGTAAATAAATATATAAACACTCCACAAATGAATTTAGTGGCTTCTCTCATCCTTTCCACTAAAATAATAACTTAAACTGTGTTTTTCAGGTTTATTCTGTATCATCACTGCTTAGAATATTGCCTGATACTAGAATGAGGATACAGCTTAGATGATATAGTTTATTTCTCTTCAATATGATGTGTAATGAAGGTGGGCTTCCAAGAAGAACTTTCATAATGCAAACTTGCTGTATCTTTTACTTTTTTTTTCTTTTTTTTTTCTTTTTTTACATTTTTCCACATACATTTACTTTACGTATCAAAAGTTTTTGCTCATACTCCACAGTTCTTGACAGATAATAGATAAACAGCTTTTAGAATTTCAAAAAACTGAATTTTAAAGGTAACTTTCGGGGCCGGCAGATGGCGTGGTTGTTAAGGGTGCTGGACTCCAACATGACCAACTGCGGTTCTAGTCCAGGACCTGGCGGCTTGCTTTCTCACATTCTCTCTCTCTCTCTCTCCCTCTCTCTTTCTCTCCCTCTCTCTCCTTCCCTCCCTCTCTGGTCAAATATAAATAAATAAAATAAATTTAAAAATAAATGATAACAAAAAAGATCACAAGAGACTGAAAAAGGTAACTTTCAAAATATTTGTTACAATTTTCTTTGTGAGTCTGTTGTATCTTTTTCTTGCCTAGGGCGATTGTGTTGTTACCGTGGTGCTCACTGAAGAGGATAAAGTTGAAGATGATGTAGTTTTTTACTTGGTGTTTTCGGGTTCCACCCTCCATCACTGCACAAGTACTCGGAAGGTCAGCTCGGATACGCTGGAGACCATCGCCCCTGGTACGTATTTGAAGGGGATTTTTACTAGGCTTTCCTAGTTCTTGAACATGGTTCATCCACATTCCTTGGAGCGCGAGGAAGAGTGAATCCGAGTAATGTAAATGTCCGGTTGTTACTTTAAGTACACAGTACTGTATTCTGCTTATGTTATGCTCGATGCACAAAAATCCAAATGTAACTAGAAATCAGTGACATGAAAGTGCGTCATCAACTGAAATCTAAAACTCGGATAAAAATGTTATTGTACTGGAAAATTGCGGTTTGGGGAAAACTAAAGCACACAGAGAAGTTGTTAAGTGCCCTTGTGGTTTCTATGGCAGAACTGCAGATTGGATTCCGAACTTCATGGTGGCAAAACTAAAGGGTGAAATACAATTAATGACACATTCCTCAGTACCTGTGATGAAATGGAAAAGCTCACAGATTCATCAAGAAGCCAAATTTTTGCCGAATTAAGAAATCACAGCTCTATGATGGAATGTATGCTTTATCACTGCTGCATTTATAGGCTTAACAATTATTTATTTAGTAAAAGTTATTTTTACTAAATATTTATTAAAAGTTTTTACAGAGTTGTGAAGTCATTTCCATTTCCATCAGAAAAGGCCGATATATTAATGAAGGTCTCTTGGCACTTTCTAGCATCTAAAAAGGTGTACTTTATATATGTATATGTATTGATATATAAAGAACTTTTTTTAATACCAAAGGATGGCATTTAATAAGAGAGAGAGAGAGAACCTTCTGATGGGATTGGTCTTACTGCTAGCCTTTTTTCCTCCATTTCTACAATTCTATCAATGTCCTGTCACATGTGTGGGCACCCCTTGTGGTTTTCAGTGCTCCAGGGGCCGGCCCTGATTCTCGGTCTGCCATGTGAGATCTGGCTTCCTCCTTGAGCTCAGTGCACTAAAAGCTATTGATTCGTATTCAGAGAGGAGTTTCTCTCCTAAATAGACCTTGCATCAAAATAAACACTTGACCAATTCTCATCAGAATTTAAGAGAGTACACTTTTAGGAGGAACCTTAAAAAATGTTGACAGCTGGGGACCAGCAGTTAGCGTAATGGCTATGTCGCTGGACTCCCACGTAGTCGACCGCAGTTCGCGTCCCAGACCCGGTGGCTTAAAACTCACGCCGGGCATGTGTTCGTGCGTGCCCCAAGATCCCAAGAGGAGAATGGAGGAGAGGGATTGCGGCATGGCCATCCCCCCTGGGTGGTGATTTCTCACTTTCTGTCTCTATGTCTCTCTCTGTGTGGCGAACGCACGCGCCCTGTAGTGAAAACCTCTCAAAAAAAAATTAATAATAATTGGCATTAAACCATTGAAAACTGTATTTGTTCTCTACTTGGCAAAAATGCCTTTAGAAAATATAGGATTTAATGACTGTAGATAGTACCTAGGAATGTTCTCTCCCTATCCTCCCAGTTTTTAGGGACAGGAAGTATAAGAAGGTAGTCAGGATAGAAAATGACTGCTTATTTAGTTATTTTTATTTTTATTTTTATTTTTTTTTTGAGAAGGGAGAGGTTTTTTGCTATAGGGCACGTGCACTTGCCAGAAAGAGAGACAGAGAGACAGAAAGTGAGAAATCACGCCCTATGGGGGATGGCCACGCTGCAATCCCTTCTCCATTCTCCTCTCAGGATTTGGGGCACACATGCACATGCACCCAGTGTGAGTTTAAGCCACCGGGTCCAGGACTTGAGCCATGGTCGACTACATGGGAGTCCAATCACATAGCCGTTACGCCATGTGCTGGTCCGAATAATGACTCCTTATTTTTACAAAGAGTATTAGATGCTCTTTTTGATCCTTTATGAAGGCTTTTAAAAACTAATCTTCTTTTTTTTTTTTTTTTTTGCCTTCTTACAGTTAAAAGCAGTAGTTATAATCCCATTCTGTTTTATTAGTGAAGTGTGTTAAGAGTAGTAGTTCTTAGGAAGGAGGTAAGTTTAGACTGACTTTCTACTTTATCTGCCTTTTAAATGTTCAGTGCTTTACAGTGAGCATGTTACTTACATAATACATTAACACTTTTTACGTGTTATTATTTTGCAGACACGTGTTACTACACCTGACTGATCTGAATTGGTCCGGTGTTCACACCTGGGCCTGCCATCCCCTCCCCCCCCCATTCTCATAGAACAGCACCCAATCCTGCTACTTGCACCAGCTGCTGGGCTGATCTGTACACTTTTTAATAAAAATATTTTTGAAGACTGAAAAGAATATCTTGTTTTAAAAACAAGCCCATCTTTGTGCTAATTAACACAAGAGACCAACTAACAGGTTGCATTATAAAACATGATGGTCAAAGTTTGCTTAGGAAGTGTCTGGTTAAAGGGTATAGTTTGCTCTGTAACATAGCCTGAAATGGAAGTACATCTCTAATAATGAAAGGTGTTACTGTTTTCATAAATGAAAATACCTCATTAATGGCACGTCACAGAAGATAAATCCAGCCCTAAGTCACCTTTTAATAAACCAGTCGTTTTCCACAAGAGATGAAGCTGAGATTTTTTTTGGGGGGGGTAGAGGTTTTTTTCGCAATAGGGCTCGTGCGCTCGCCAGGCAGAGAGAGACAGAGAGACAGAAAGCGAGAAATCACCCCCGAGGGGGATGGTCACGCCGCAATCCCTTCTCCTCCATTCTCCTCACGGGATCTTGGGCACGCACCCACACGCGCCCGGCGTGAGTTTTAAGCCACTGGGTCCGGGACGTGAACCACGGTCAACTACGTGGGAGTCCAGCGACATAGCCATTACGCTAACTGCTGGTTCCCAAGCTGAGATTTTTTTTTTCTTTTTCTTTTTTAAAAGACCTGTGTAAGATTGGTAAATAGTGTAGTGACATTTGGGTAGCCAAGGTAATTCTCAGGGATGGGGTGTTTAGTACTGTTTTACTGTGTTCACTTTTGTTAATAAAACTGAAGTTAGACCAAGGAAACAATGATTTCAGGATGCAAACAAGACAGGATGTTTAGTGGGTTCTGCAACACTATTTTTGTGAAAGGCTTCAGTGCAGAATCTTTGATAAAATGAAATCCTTTTTTCAATATGTCTATTATTTACTTTCAAAATTCATCGGAGAGGTTCTTATTGGACAGGAAAACTACCAGTCTTCATCGACTCAGAACTTGGCTCATTTCTTTTGTATTTTTCCTTTCTTTTTTACTTGTAAGGGAAAGTACTACATAAAGTAGATTTGTCATTCAAAAGAATATGTTTATCATGATCACACATCTTACTGCATTTAATTGTAGCCAGGTCTCAACAAATGGTTCTACAGCTACAGCATAATGTGTCTTTCATTTCTTGTGAACCAGACTCTAACATTGGGTGTCCAGAAATGACCAAACTCAATAGCATATTTGAAAATAAGTTATATCCCCCCCCCACCAATTTGCCCAAGGGTGTGTGTACTGGTGGGGGGTGGGAATGAAAAAGCACCATCCATGAGTGATGGTCTCACTTTAATCCCTTCTCCATGTCTAATTCCTTTCAGGGTTTGGGTACACATGCACATGTGCCTGCTGTGTTTTTCAAGCCACTGGGTATGGGACTTGAACCCAGCTGTTGGCTCTATGAGATCCAGTTGCCTTACCCACCATGCCATCTGCTGGCCCACTATAGGCTTTCAGTGGGCCTAATCAGTGAATTTAGATACCTGTCCCTGACAAAGTAATCAGTTTCTTTTATTTGTTTTACGTTGGGGCGCATGCTCTCACTAGAGAGGGAGGGAAAGTGACTTTTATATTGGGGGAGGTAACCACAGGTTATTTGACAGACACGTCCCTGGGGGAATGGCTATGCTACAGTTTCCTCTCTTCCATTCTTGGGACTTTGGGCACACATACATACACACTCGGTGTGGTTTCCAGGCTACTGGGTCCAGCACTCGAACTAGGGAGTCAGCCATGTTGCATCTAGCACGTCACCCACCATTCCATAATCAGTCAGTTTTGTATTGGACATTTTCTAATAGTCTCCTTCTTCTAAAATACTCCTGTCTCTAGAAGGATGCGACATTATGCTTTAAAAGGTTTAAATTGCAGTACTCGTGCTAGTGAGTGCCCACGGTGATGATACTGGGGAAACACACTTGAGAAGCCGTTGAAGGGAAGGTCTGTTACCTGCTGTCCCAGTTACAGTGTTAGGAGGAAATTCCGTATTTCATCACCTGAGAACTGAGAGCGCAGTACTGGAATCCTGTGTGTGCATTGAAACAGGAGTGATAGCCTCCCAAGGGGTGATCAATGACTTTGGGGGGAAGGACACAAAATCACTTAATTTGTATATAGGAAGCACAGATACACATGTGTGATAGATCTGTGGTATTAAAATTTCACGTGTTGGGGAAGAGGTGACTAGAGAGAAACATCTAATAAGGCTTCTCAGGGGGGATAATAATGAAAAAACACTGGGAAACACTGCCTTGGCTGGAATACAGTGGAGCGGACTTTTAGCATTAATTAGTTCTTTCCTCTCTTCCACAATGTCCATGAAATCCTGGTGCCTGCTGTTTTTTCACCTCATCTTAAATCGTCCTGTTCATAAAGCTGCATTTAACCAAATTTGCATAGATACCATGAGATCAGCCCAAATTAGCAATAGATGCATCCTTCTGCACATCATTTCATCTTCTAATGAAGCGAGTCTGAAGACTGATGTTCTCTTTAACCCTTCCCCAAAGGAAGGAAACAGACTCCAAATTCAGAAATACTTTGATGCCAAACTGAACTAGTAAAGACATTATTTTTATGTCTTCCACGTCTGACTGCAACCATATCTTCTCTCTTAGAGGATGACATCTCTATGGAACCGGCTTAGCTGGCCCAGCAAGCACTTTTAGGGTTCCTTTGTGGATGGCCGATGAAACAAAGTCCCAATTGTTTCATGCTCAGAAGAGAAGGCCCGGATGGGATGCGTTCCACTTTTAGCTCAATAGGAAATGAAGTCACTCTTGGGTCATGCTTCAGCAGCTTTGTTTATCTG